GTATTAAGTTTCAATCATTTTGGGGAAAAAAAAGTCACTGCAAAACATTTTTTATTTAATGTATACATCGAAAATTCTATATAATTATTTTAAATGATATTCTCTAATTTTAAATAATATTTGTATTAATGTATGATATGGTTTGGCTCTGTGTCCCCACCCAAATCTCATGTCAAATTGCAATCCCGGGTGCTGGAGGAGGAGCCTGGTGTGAGGTGACTGAATCATGAGGGTGGACATCCATCTTTTTGTCCTCATGGTAGAATTCTCATGAGATCTGATTGTTTGAAAGTGTGTGGCACCTTTATATTAGCTCTCTCTTCTTCCTGCTCCAACCATATAGGACATGCGTGCTTCCCCTTCCCTTCTGCCATGATTATGAGGTTCCTGAGACCTCCCCAGAAGCAGAAGCCTGTACACCCTGAAGAACTGTGAGCTGATTAAACTTATTTTCTTTATAAATTACCCAGTACAAAAATGGACTAACAAAATGTACATGGATACAGCTTATTAAAATTAATCAAAGACAAAATCACAGGAGCCATTATAAGGCAAGAACTTTCAAATTTGAGCATAATTAGCTATTCAAATGCTTTTGTTGAGTATTATCATGTATACGCAAATTTCTAGATATTGTAGAAGGCTTGCTAAAAAGATACAAAAAATCAAAATCACTTTTTCTAGAAAAGTGTACATTTAATTGCATTTGCTTAGAAAATAGTCACTAAAAGTGAGAAACTTTCAGTCTAGAAAATTCTTGAATGGTATGAATTTTTGTCCGTTCCAAAACTCATGTTGAAATTTAATCTCTGTTGTGGTAGTATTGAGAGGGGGGGCATTTAGGAGGTGATTGGGTCTTGAGGGCAGAACCTCATGAATTAATAGATTAATGGGTTATCATGGAAGTGGGATTAGTGGCTTTGTAAGAAAAGGAAGAGGGACCTGAGATAGCATGCTTAACCCCATTGCTATGTGATGCCTGTGCAGCTCCAGGACTCTGCAGAGAGTTCCGACCAGCAAGAAGACCTTCACCAGATGCAGTCCCTAGACCTCAGGCTTCTCAGCCTCCATAACTATAATAAATACATTTCTTTTCTTTATAAATTACCCATCTTCAGGTATTCTATTACAAGTAACAGATAATGGACTAAAACAGATCCAAAGCCGATTTTGCTTATTGTTTAAATATTTGAGTTGTAGAAACTTTCAGTGTGATATATTTTACACCATGCTTGACTTAATAATTATGCAGAGAGTTTTGTATTTGGGTATTACAGTAAATACTTGAATATTCTACAGATTTTCCATATCCTGAATAATCTTTTTTGCTTACACACTTTCAGAAAACTATGGCAACCATAAGGATATTCATTTGAAAGACTGATTGATTCGACTGACAGTTCAATTTAATTCAATAGTGTTAGAATAATTAAATAGTTTCTGTCTTTAAAACAAAGTGTGTTTGTTAGGATTGTTAAAAGTGGTCTTTACTATGTCAATGTCTTCTTGCCTATAACCTTGGTTATCTTAAATCTTAATTTAATTGACTCACAAGTCAATTATTAATTGTGGCTTGTTAAACAATCCTCTTTCGTGAGTTCTTCCAGCAAGCTGCATGTAACCAGTTCCTTCGTATTTGTTACTAGTTTGCACTGGAACTAAGTGATCAATCAAAGTTTTTTATTTTTGAATAACAGATAAACAAATTAATTAGTGCAGTATTTTACAAAGTATATTTTTCAAGGATTTTATCTAATATGCCAAGTTAAGCCATAATTCCAACCAAATTATTTTCCTTCCTCCCCTCCTCCCTCTTTCTGTCTTTCCCTCTCTCGCAATCTCTCCCTCTTTCTTTTTTCTCCTTCTCTTCTCATCCTTCTCACTTTCCTCTCTTTCTCCCATTTTTAAAAAATTTTATTTTCTCCTTCATTTTCTACATTACTGTAGTATGGTAACAATCAAGTGAAAATAATATAATCATCTTTGTCAATCATTTCAGTTTAACATTACTTCATGAATAGTTTATTTCTTAAATTTGAAATATTTTCATTTGATAATTAAATTGAATTTTATTTAAATATATTTCCAAGAAGAGTGATTTTTTCAAACATATATTGTATGCAGATTGACAAATATAGAAAGGTACCTATATTTACATAATAGGTTATGGCAGTGCTTTAAACCTACTAAATATTACTACAAGACTAATAAATAGGCATCATTCATTATCTGCTAAATGTGACAATATTTTTAATTCATGTTTCTTTATACCACAAATTAATTTTACATGTCCTTTGGGTTATATAAAATATTGTCCTCTAAACATATAACTTTTAACTGTGGAATATTCTTGTTAGTATTGCAGAGAAAAAGGAAATGCAAAATTAAATTTTAGAATAACAGCAAATAAATTTTATAGTACAGTTTTTGAATGGTGATGGATATTAACTAATGAAAAAATATATAGAGATACTTGAATTATTTTACATTATTTTAAATAAATCAAGTGAGATAATCCATGAAGCACTGATTTCTATATAAATTAATTACATGCACTTCAACTTTCAACATTACTTCTGATGGAAAGTGTCCTCTGTCCTGTTTGTGATGTGTAATTTCATATACTATTTTCTTCCCTAAGGGAAATACTTACTTGATTCCATTGTTGGATAAAAATGATCTGTCACCAACGTTGGCTTTAAAGGGGTTTTGCTTAATAAACGAAAAACAAACAAAAATGACTGAATACTGAGAGAAAAATCAAGGCACAAGGGATTGCAGTCCAGCTGTTGTGGCATAAATCAATATTTAAAAAGCACTATAGTAATTTTTTTCCACTAAAAATAGGTCTTTTGTGCACTCAATTTCTTATTTTATTAAAGTGTTCAACTTTGTCTAAGGACTCCAAATTTAGCTTTGGTTTCTGGTTATGTTTACAGCTCAACCTTGGGGGTAACTGAGCAGTAGTGTAACTGCACTTCAGTGGTTAATTCCTATGCTCTGTTGGGGGTTACCGAAACTGTGAATTTCATGACTGGACAACAACCATATTCCTGGTTGAGTTAGGGAACACGTTGCATCTCTGGTCCCCTTGTCTTCAACAAATTTTACCAGGTTCTATTTTATTTTTTATTTTTATTTTTATTTTATTTTTATTTTTAATTTATTTTATTTTATTTTATTTTTTGAGACGGAGTCTCGCTCTGCAGCCCAGGCTGGAGTGCAGTGGCGCAGTCTCTGCTCACTGCAAGCTCTGCCTGCCGGGTTCACGCCATTCTCCTGCCTCAGCCTCCCAAGTAGCTGGGATTACAGGCGCCCGCCACCATGCCCAGCTAATTTTTTTTTTTTTTTTTTTTGGTAGAGACGGGGTTTCACCATGTTAGCCAGGATGACCAGGTTCTATTTTAATGGCTCATTAAAGGAAAGGTTAAAATATTCCAAGTAGTCATGTCCTGAAAGTGATTGCAATCATCACCATTCTAAATATAGATACGAGGAAAAAACACATCTTCTCCAAACACCCATTTGCAAGATAGTAAGTAGACTTTGGCTATTCTCATTTATTGCCTAAACTCTTCCATGCATAGTATACAATGATCTATGTACTAGAAGGTTATGCCTTGAAATTCTCTTTTATCATTTTATTCCATTCTTGATTTACACTGATAACAGCTTTCATTCCGAGGCTACACACCAAATGCACTGATTTCGCAAACCCCGTCCCCGGTGTTCAGATGTCCATCTTCAAATTTCTACCGTGTGCCTCTGGCCCCAGGGGTGAAGCACTGCCTGGGTGCATTAATAGCAGAATCACAATGTAAGTGTCAGGATGGTGGCATCATCACATTTTGACGCCAGCATCCCTGTTTCTTCTGTGTCTCACTACAGAGAAACTAAGGCTAAAGGTTAAAAGATACGGTTTATTAAATAATTCAAGCCATTAACCTGCAACCTGCAAACTGATGGCAGCCTATTAAGTTGACACTGCCATGATTCATGCGTAGTGTTTACTGATGCAAAAGCATAATGCCTGTTTTCTTTCCTTGTATTGCTACACAGTAATGTAGTGAGGAAGGAGGGTGGAAAAAGGTGACAAGACCCACGCAAGGGGACAATAAGAGCAGCAGTCTCACTTGCATAAAGAAGATTGAAGCCTTCCCTCCCTCCCTCCATCTCTCCGTATAGGCCCCAGTGCACATCTGCGTCACTTACGGGGGAGGAGGAGGCTCTGAGGCAGAGAGAAAATTGTACTGTGAGGACCTTGACAGCTTCACAGGCGGGCTTTTTCTTTTGCCTCCCTATATGCGTTAGAATATCTATTTTTCTCTTTTACGAACTGACTATATAAAACCACCTCTTCTAGCATTGCAGAAAGCAATTGACTTTCTCAGAGCCACCCGGCAGGCTATCAGGGCATCCTCGAAAAGGCCAGGGACAGGGGCGCAGGTGTACCAAGAGAGCTGGCGAGGGGTACGCTTCCTCGAGACTTGGGTCTCTTCTCTCTGCGCTCTCCAGACACTGAACTCTAAGCTGCAAGGACAAGAACGCCACCACCTTCCCTACTAAGGCTCTGCCACAAGCGCATTCCAGAGAGGTGTATCCATCTGCAGCCGCCTCCGGAGCTTCGGAGCGCTCAGACCTCCCTCCCTCACGCATCTCCAGCCTAAGGGTTGTCCCACCTCGCCATAACCACGGGGCTCCCTCGCGGGCATCGAGGATTCTCAGCCTTTGGCGTCCCAGTCCTGCCTCTGCTCCTGCCTGGTGGTGTCCCCACGCCCAGGTCCTGTGGACCCAACCGAGGCTGAACCGCGCGGCTTTGCCGTCCGCGCTCCAGCCTTCGTCTGACAGGGCGCGCAGCCCGCCTCGCGTCTTCTGGCTTTAGGGGTGCAGAGGGCGCATCCCGCTTCTTCCTCCGCCCCCGGGCTCCGCTGGCCTCCCCCACCTGCTGACCAGCCTACTCCTGCGTGAGCTGCTAGCCTTTTGGCTTCTGTGCGTAAAGCATGTCAGGCTCTGGGCGAAAAGACTTCGATGTGAAGCACATTCTGCGACTCCGCTGGAAACTCTTCAGCCACCCGTCACCGTCCACCGGCAGCCCGGCGGGGGGAGGCTGCCTGCAACAGGATGGCAGTGGCAGCTTTGAGCATTGGGGACCCAGCCAGAGCCGCCTGCTCAAAAGCCATGAGAGAAGCGGTGTGAGCACTTTCTGGAAGAAACCTTCCTCCTCTTCCTCTTCGTCGTCCTCTCCGTCCTCTTCCTCCTCTTCCTTCAATCCGCTGAATGGCACCCTGCTTCCAGTTGCCACGAGGCTGCAGCAAGGGGCTCCTGGACAGGGCACCCAGCAGCCAGCCAGGACTCTCTTCTATGTGGAATCCCTAGAGGAGGAGGTGGTGCCAGGCATGGACTTTCCTGGACCACACGACAAAGGGCTGGTTCTGCAAGAGCTCAAAGTGGAACCAGACAGCTCGAGCCAGGCAACAGGTGAAGGATGTGGACACAGGTACAGTAAGTCCCCATGGGGCTTCCAAGCGTCTTTCAATTTCCACTCATTTCACAGCGTGTGCTCTGTGGTTACTAAGTCTAGAATGTTTCAGGTTGAAAATGTGCGTTAAGAGATGCCAGCCTGGTTTTGATTACTCAAGTTCTAATTTCATTACAAGTTTGCTCATTAATTTCTATTGGTTCAGACACATCATTTTTCTTTTTGGAAGTTTTCAAAGTTATAGCCACCAATTGAACTTGCATTCATTTTTGTAAGTCTTCAAATGGAATAGTTCTCATATTCCTGAGATTATGGTGTTCTTCTGTCATATACATCAGTTGTTCCGTTATATGGAGGTGAAAATTTGCTTTACACATCATCAGAATGCATCTCATATATTGGCCTGGTAACTGACTTAGCATATTGTCTAAGGTCCCTGTGGTTTGAATCTATTCCAGGAGTAATGAGGTGGACAAAATGAGACCACTGGACAGCAACATTATTTTACCTCTCTTTTTGCTCCTGAAATACAGTCGTCTTATTCTCTGTCCCAACTTCTCTTTTGGTCCTTTTCCTTTGTGTTCACTCTTGCCTTGTTCGGAGTAAGTCTTTGAATTAAACTGTTGTGGAGTGCCTTTGCATTTAGCTGTTGTGGTTTGTTGGCTCAGTATTGAAATTGTGTCTCCTTGATAAGCAGCTCAGTATTTATTTCTAGTTTATTTCTAATATTATGCTTCTTTGTGTAGAGTTCTGCTACTTAAAGACTTATAGAAAATCCTTCATAGACATAAAACTCCCGAGTTTTACATTTTGAGAGAATTGACTCATTAGTATTCTAAACCACATCATTGCTAGTTTTGGAATATAGTCAGGATATGAAATGATTTGCATTTAGATTCGTGTGATATCAGAATACATTATTAAAGAAGAACTACAGGAGAAATATAGAAAATGATAATGAATATATTAAGACATTTTAATTACTACCCAATAACAAATTAGTAACAGAATCATCTTTTTTAAACTTTTGGTTGATTGAATCAGTTTCTTATAAATTTGATTAAGTAGCAAAAAGAATAGATAAAATTATATATGTATAACCTATATGTGTATATATATGTGTGTATGTATATATATGTGCTCCCTAATTATGCTAACATATGTGGTTATAGATTTAAAAATATCCTTAAATTTTTTCGATTATATGCATTATATATATTTTAGTTTTAATTTCAGAGATAGAACATATTCTAATATTATATTAAGACATGTACTATAACATAAGATAATTTTAATAAGGGAGAAGTACAATCTGGAATGAACAATTATGTCAATAGTTTTTCTATATATAGGAGACCTAAATATAAGTTTATCTATTATTCCATTAAGTGAAATATTTTATGAAAAATAATTACAACTTTAGGTACTATGAATACTATGAAGTGATTAAATGTTACTAAAAGTTATTTATTATACTAATTACTTATGATTTTATAATTTAAAAAATAAAACGTACTGAAATGTTTATACCCTTTTGTTGAGTAAATCTAAACACTTTTTGTGCGGAATTATCCAGAAACATTAACCAATTCACCTTATATATTTAAAAGGAAACTAGGTTAAGTATTTTTCAATTACTATTTTATTATAACTGATAGTTGTTAGACTCTAACAGCTCAAGAAGAAATTTATACATTATGTGTGTTTGTAAATTTTTAAATTCCTTGAATAAGCTCCTAGAAATATTAATGTTTCATATTTTCTTAAAGTTTACTTTATACCAAATACATTTAAAAATAAACAAGGCATATTCAGAATTAGTAGTTTATAAAGACTTTCATGTAATTTGGAGTTTTGAAAACATTAATGGAGTAGTGACTTAAGAAATTATAATAAATTAACAAATATAAAACTAGTAACAGAACAAACAGCTTAGGAAAAAAACAACAGACTTAAGTTTCTTACTTTTGAAAATACTTTATTATTTTTATTCACAAAGAGTTGTGAGTGATAAGAATTCCTAAATTTACCCACCTACCGACCAAAATCATCTTCAATGTTGGAATCAAATTATCTTATGAGATTTGGCATGTGTGAACTCTTGAAAATCAGGTCCAATTTTATTTTTAGTCTAGTTTCTTACTAGACAAATCAGTTAGCACTGTATGTATTTGATGGATTTATATGTTCCTAAACTTTCATAGAGAATTTTTTCTGTGCTCATGATTGATTGAAAACCACACTAATACAACTAGTAATTCATCATTATCAGTATGTAATATTTTAATATGCAATAAAAGTAGGAGTCACTGCCTAGAAGAGACAGCATTTCCAAAGTAAAATACTGAATGGAAATTTTATTATGCTTTAGACATTTATGCAAAATAATGAGTAATGTGGGTTTATTTTTTTTCTGTGACAGCATATCCAGAAAAGCTACATAGTGTTTATGATGATCAGCAACAACATAAACTATATGAACTCTGTATGATAATTTTTATCACTTAGGTCATTATTATATCACCAATGATGTCATTTTTAATAATGAGCATTGTATTTCATAAATTCTGACATTTCTGCTAAGTTAATACTTACATATAAAACATGAGTTGGCCCTTTCTCTGACCTTGTATTTATTCATTGTATTGATCTTCTCTTTATTCATTTAGTTTCATACTAGTTAGAACATTTAGAACATTGCTTTAGACAAGTATGACTAGCTTAGCTCAGTTGAGTAAACTGGTTAGAACAGCAGATGGAGGACATTTGGGGAAAGTTGCTCACAATCTCAGAATTCTGGAAAGGTCAAATTATCATAGACTTGAAACATAAAGGTAGTGGGAAATATTGTGGTAAACCAATTCAGGGCCAAAACCCAACCTTTTTCTTACCTTACTAAATTAAATGCTCACTACTTGCATTCCACCCTAAATAAATCTCAGTGCTCTACTAACTTGACCACATAAACAATACTTTTTCTATAATAGTTTACTGGCCTATTAATCATTAATTTCTCTACTTCCCTGTCTAAATGATATGATTTCCTGGATATTCAGATAACCATGTATTTTTGTTTTGGATATTTCTGTCCAAGATTCCATATGTAGTAAACTAAAACACCAAAGAGCAATATTTATATTCTTGCATTTTATAGTGATGTGAGTGGGAGAAGACATGTCATGTTTAACTGCTTGCTTTTTTAGATTCTGAATTCTTACAAAGTGCAGTCATTTTATCCCATGGTTTTATCTACCATCTATAAACTGTCTTTTCAGATTTGCATCTCTAAATCTAGCCTTCCTCTCCTGAACTGTAGTCTTACACAGCCACCTCTCTTCTTGACCTCTTTGATGGATGTCATAGGGTCCATTCAAATATAACATGTACAAATTGAGCTTATAGTTCTTATTCTGTCTTGTTCAATTTCCTTCTACTGTATTTCAGAGAATAGCTTTCTACAAATTAGTTTGTGCAAGCCAGAATTCCAGGATCACATTGGTCAATATCTTCTTTCCCCTCAATTTCAATATGCCTCCAATAATTGCTGCTTTTGCTTAGAAAATCTTCCCTATACATGTCCCACATCTCTTCATAGCTATTCTCTGCACCTAATCTAAGCTACTATCTTCTTTGAACTCTAGTTTTGCCACTTCCATCTCTTATCACCTCCCCTCATTATCTTTGCCTCCTCAAGTCCATCCTCTACACTGAAGTGGATAAAAATTCAGAATGGTGAACTAGTTTTCCACATCCCTCACTCCCTCATTCTGCTTTTTCCCCACCAAAGGATTTTCAACACTCCTTGATCACAGTTTATACTATGGACACCATCTGATTACAATCTTTACCATGGATTACCTGGTTCTGAATGACCTGTCCTTTGTCTGCTATGTAGGCCATTCACTTACCAACCTTCCCCTTACCCTCTGTTTTCCAGACTTAATATCCTTCCCTATAATTTTTCACTGCCTCTGGAACTCACAAAGTTATTTCCTCTCTTTGCATAGAGACTATCCTTTCCTTAACTGCTCCCTTCCTGAGTTCGTCCTTATTCATCACAGAGATGTCATGCATAAATGTGCTGTACCTTTCCCAGGAAAGGAGTTCTTGATCACCCAAACAAATTCATATCCTGTGTTTTCTCTTCTTAGAAATCTCTTCTCTACTTTTTAAAAATTTTCTTACTGAAGCTTGTAACCATATATTAGTATCTGTGTTGATTTTGTCTGTAAGTGAATTTCCAAGTGGAGAGGAGTATGTCTGTTTTACTCATCATTCTACCCCTATCATGGAGCAGGTAGTTACTCAATAAATACTGTCAAATGAATAAATATTTGATATAATCATATTGAGTGGCATTGATTAAGAACTTGCTTTTTGCCAGTTAGCATGTTGAATATTTATATGTGTAAGTTAAAATTCATAACATCTTATAATCCTGCTACATTTATGTATGTCCCTGGTATAATGATTACATAGATAAGATGACTGAAATATAAAGACGGTAAGTAATTTTCCTAGAATCACAGACTTCTAAGTAACAGGGCGGGACTTTAACCCTTTCTATTTGACTCCAGATACCATATTGGCCATTGTGCTGAATCTTATTTCTCTATGCTTAGACAAACAAACAGAACTAAAGAAAAGAGGCAGCATCTGAGGTTATGGAGAAATAATTTTCTTTTTCCCTTCATGGAGATTATGTTTGAATGTTTAAATAGGCTTCTTAAAATGACAGTCATAGAAAAATTCTAGGTAAGTCTCACTCAAAGATGACTTCTTAGCCCAAGTTAGAAAACACTTTATTATTTTCTAAATTATTGTTCATTCAGTGTATTTTATGTTATAATTAATAAACAATATGCAAATATAACCTAGAAATGGAAAGAAATAATTATTTTGGAGACCAAATTAGAGCTTTAGGATAGAAAATCTGCTTATGAATGTTGGAACCATTGATAAAGTATTGTCAGTGAAAGAGAGCTTGCACCATTAAAATCTCATGGAGGTTAGTGGGA